ATTCTCTATCATTTCATAAGAAATATCATTTTTTTTTTTTCAAAAATTTATCGACATAGAATGACAGTTTCAGAAAGGGGCCTGCGACAGTCAAAGGGTTAAAACAGGTTATGGTAATTAGACAAGTAATGGTAATTAAATGTCAAAAATGTTAAGAGTAAATTGTAACTGATAGTAAAAATGGTAATTAATTATTAATTTTAGTAAGTAATATCAATTAACCCTTTGACTGTCGCGGTCGTATACAGTGGACCCCCGGTTAACGATATTTTTTCACTCCAGAAGTATCTTCAGGTGCCAGTACTGACCGAATTTGTTCCCATAAGAAATATTGTGAAGTAGATTAGTCCATTTCAGACCCCCAAACATACATGTACAAACGCACTTACATAAATACACTTACATAATTGGTCATATTCAGAGGTAATCGTTATGCGGGGGTCCACTGTATATACGTCTTACGAGGTACCGTGTTTGACGTATATATACTCATAAATTCTAGCGGCTTCAAATCAAGCGGGAGAAAGCTGGTAGGCCCACATGTGAGAGAATGGGTCTGTGTGGTCAGTGTGCACCATATAAAAAAAATCCTGGAGCACGCAGTGCATAATGAGAAAAAAAAAACTCCGACCGTTTTTTTTTAATTAAAATGCCAACCTTGTGGTCTATTTTCGTACAGTAATTATGGTTGTATTTTCGTTTTCTTGGTCTCATTTGATAGAATGGAAAACATATTATAGAAATAGATGTGATTTTGATTGATTTTACTATAAAAAGAACCTAGAAATGGAGCTCAAAGTAGGGGAAATGTTTGATTTTTGCCAATGTTCAAAAGTAAACAAATGATGCCATTGTCCAATAAATGTCCAACTAGCCATTCTAATATGCAGTCATGAATGGGTTGATGTTATTTATACAATTATTACAGTATTGCAGTAGTCTGCATAATAGTAAGTCTTCTATTTTTTGTTTGAATAAAAATTCAAAATAGAAAGCAAGAGTAATATCAGAGGGGCCTGGAGACATGACTGATGAGCAAAGAAAATGTTATTTTAGAGCCAGGAATGTCTGCATTGTTCATTCTGGACCTTATTTTGAAATTGTCATATTTTTTATTTTTCGTGAAATTGGCCAAATTGCAAATTTCTGACCACATTATTAGGTAGTTGAAATCGGTAAATGGGCAGTTTCTTGTACTCAATCGATAGAAAAAATGGAGTTCTAAAGAAATAGCTATGAGTTTGGGCGACTGGAACAATGGAATTAGCCGAAAATAGGGCTCAAAGTGGGCGAAATTGCCGATTTGTAAACAGCGCCGAGGTCGCTAACTTCGCGAGAGCATAATTCTGTCATCAAATTTCGTTTTTTTGGTGTCATTACAATTGGGAAAAGATTCTCTATCATTTCATAAAGTATTTTTTTTTTTTTTAAATTTTGCGACGCCAGGAGACACCTCAGGATTGGGAGTTGCGACAGTCAAAGGGTTAATAGTATTTAAAAAAATATGAGGCAGTAATATGGACAGATAAAGTATCAATTCAGCTAATATTTAAGCAAACAATAGTAAATAAGAAAATTACATAAGGTGACTTATGCTTACTAGTAAAATCACAAAATGAGGTAGTTGATTATTTAATTACTAAGAGATTGTACTATGAAATCTGAACAATAAAGGAGCAAGACATACACTACACTACATAGGCTTTTAGGATGGACATTGTTTAATTATTCTCTGTAAGATTAGTATCCCTGAGAAATCGTGATAGATCATTCTCGTTCGTGATTGTGTACAGTTGACCTACATTCGTTTTCCTAACTAGAATTTTCCCATCCCGTGTGAAGCATTGGTGTATTGTGTCATTATTCTCCCGCTTAAGTTTTCTGACTCTATACAGGAGGTTCTGACGTTTTTTGGTAAGACACTCGTTTATGTATACCTCTTTCTTTACTTTAATAGATGCAATTATTAAGTCTTTTTTCCTGTCATGTGAGTGGAATCTAAGCATAACACTTTTTCTACCATGGGATCCTAGTAACCTGGCTTCCTTTATTTCTGACTCTGGTACTGTAACTTTTGCTTGGTCCTTTATGATCTGGAGAGTAATTTCTTTACTGTTTGTTTGGTTCATATCACTGGGAAAAAGTGGACTGTTAACTATTACTGCGTCTGATAGTTTATCTTGTTCAATTTAAGGGTAAATAATAAAAAAATTCATGCTTTTATGACTGGTGACAATTTTTTTTTTTCTGAAACAAGTGTTTTGCAGAAATTACACCCACAGCAAATATTTTAATATACACTATTATGCATGTGCCAATACAGTATTTGAAACTGTGAATCTAAAACAGATAATCAAGTTAAAAGGATACCAAGATAAGTAAAGAGGTAGTTACTGGGTGGGTGAGGGAGGGAAGAGGAACAATTGGTAGAATGACGAGGTGGGAAACAGTAGGTGTTTAAAAAAAAATAACAAAAATAAATAATACCAGATGAGATAGCAACATGGATTTTAAAAGAATGTGAAGATGAACTGAGCTATCTTCTTTGGAATATTTTTAGTACATTATTTTGCTACAAAAGGGTAAATTGACAGATCAAATGGAAGAAAGCACATGTACCCTGAAAGAGAAACAACTTACCGACTAGTAAAAATTTGGCTTTCAGTCTGAAAATTCAAGCATGCGAGATCTATTTAGATAATATGACAGAAATTATTCAAGAAAGAATGAATGGGTAGAGGCATTTATCTAGATTTTAAGAAAGCTTTTGATTGAGTTCCTCATTAAAGACTAACTTCAAAACTTCAGAACATAGGAGGAATAAAATGCAATTTATTAAAATGCACGAGGATTTTCTGCTCGAGAGGATAATACAAAGCACTAAGAAAAAATATGTTCTCTTGAGGAAATGTTAACAGTGGAATGGCACAGAAATCTGTATTTGCTTATAAAGTTTTAATTTATACAGATGACTTACCAGAAGGAATGGAAACCAATATAAATCTGTTTTGTAAATGCAAAAATCTTTTTTAAAATAAATTATAAAAGTAACAATCTTTATAAGATTTGGATAAATTAAGCAGATGCATGCTGGAATCTAACTTTGATATATGCCATATAATGAAAATGTGAAAAGGTAAAATCAGACCATGTACAGAATACAGACTGTGTAACAAAATTCTGGGAGTATCATGCAAAGAAAGGGATCCAGGAGATATTAATCAAAAATCATCACCAGTTCATATAAATGAAACTAAAAAATGCATATGCTAGGCTGGCTAACTATAAAATAGCTTACACATATAAAGGAAAGAGAGATGCTAAAAAGGTTTTGTGTGAAAGGGGCTTGGACACACAGCAGGTATGTGTGTGTGTTAGATAGAAGTGGGTGGAGACAAATGGTTTCTGGGATCTGATGAGCTGTTGGAGTGTGAGCAGGGTAATATTTTGTAAAGGGATTCAGGGAAACCAGTTAGCTGGAGTCCTGGAGGTGGGAAGTACAGTGCCTGAACTCTAAAGGAGAGATTTGGGATATTCACTGTTTGGAGGGACACCTGAACTGTCATTTCTGCATGCCCTTGACATGCATATATTACAGGTCACCCTGCCTCAGTGAATTTCTTCAATGGTTACATTAATTAAGCATGATAAAGGTGTACAAGTGATAAAACAGGAAAATTTAACTCAGGATAATGTCATTGCAGCCCATTTATTACCACCAGAAAAATGATAAAATGGATAATGAGAACCTTTAAAACTAGGGATGTAAAGCCCCATGATGATTCTCTTCAAACTGCTTGTTCTCTCTAGGCTGGAATATTGCTGTAAACTAATGATGCCTTTCAAGGCACATGAAATTGCTGACCTAGAGAGTGTACAGAGCGCATTCATGACACACATAAGTGTGTTAAATTACTGGGAATGGTTAAGTTCCTAGACTTGTATTCCCTGGAATGCAGGTGAGAAAGATGTATGATAATATACACTTCGAAAATCCTAGAGGCATTAGTATCAAATTTACACATGAAAATCACTCTACAAAAGAAAAAGACTCAGCAGGTGGTGCAAGACCCCTCAATGAAAAGCAGGGGCACCTTGAGTATGCTACGAGACAACACAATAAGTGTCTGGGACCCAAGACTGTTTAACTGTCTCTCAGCATACATAAAGGGGATTACCAATAGACCCCTGGCTGTCTTCAAGAAGGCACTGGGTTGGCACCTAAAGTCACTACCTGACTAGCCAGGTGTGGTTTGTATGTCAGTTTACATGCGGCCAGCAGTAACAGCCCGGTTAATCAGGCCTTGATCCACCACGAAACCTGGTTACATGCTGGGCTGTGGGGACAATGACCCCCGAAACCCTCACCAGGTATACCATATCAGGAAGAATATTCAGATTAGACTATTATTATTAAACAAAGGATAAAAAAAAAATAACTCAAAGTAATCAATGCGGCTTGTTTCCCACAGGGTCCCGTTATTAGGTCTTATCCGAGGAGGCAAACAACACCAGTCTACTATTACCCCATAGGTACCTATTTACTGTTAGGAACATGGGCAGTAGGTAAGTTTATTCAAGTGCAGGTACACACATAAATAGTTACATAAATTATCATACATAGCAACATGTGTAGATTACCTAGGATAACCCAAGAAAGGCAAAGTGACTTATTTTCATTAGGGTCCTTATGATACTTGCTAGTAAGTTTATTCAAGTATAGGTACATATAAATACAGTTACATAAATTATCATACATAGCAGCGTATGTGTAGATTACCTAGGATAACCCAAAAAAAAGTCCGTCTCGCTCGTGATGGGACACTCCCCACGTCTTCTAGGGTATGAGAAGAGCCCTTTAACCCCATACTATATGTAAGATATTAACTACATTATGAACGTATGGTCATGAAAAGCGCTAAAATATCACATACGCTGTTCACTAACCTGGCCGTTTGGAAATATTCCAAAAGCTTTACACTATAAATGGAATGACATACCAGTAAATTTCGTGGTGTAGGGCTTCGGCATGACAGCATCTGTGGCCGTAAAGGTGCTACTATAAGGTTTGGACAGGTGCAGCTGCCTCACACCTCTGATGGTGGTGGTAGCAACTCGCTGCATCTCTCTCACAAGTGTCGCCATGCCCGGAGAGACAAGTGCTTGAGTGCTTCCTCCAGCCTCTCCACCTTTGTTGTGATCCTCCTTCTTGAACCAATACGGATACATCTTTTTTACTTGCTTTATTTCGCTAGTTATATAAACGATATTTAGCATATGTACTTTCTACCTAAGTATGTTTCTTTTTGTAATCTAGAATCTTAATAACAAAGAAAGCAGATGAGATATGCAATTATGTCTCCACATTTTTTCCCCTAAGACTGGGTCAGGCCTGCCAGAGGTCACATACTCATTAGGAAGGTCGTATAACGCGGTATATACGCCAAAATGTGTCTGTCTCGGTGCATATACACTAAGATATTACTTTAACACACGTTTTAGCAATTCATTTATACTTGATGATAGAATACACATATATGACCTTAATGACCATCGTGCACTCGATAAATCTTAGGCCTAACGAGCTTATATGAATTCTCAAAAATTAAATGTTTATAGTAGGTTGTGCACGGTACAAATTTATATTTATTTAGATATTATATATTAAGTGAATAACACTACCTTGTAATTATTAAAGAATCATGATCATGCAATAAGCCCAAATAAAATTATTTATTTTAGTTTGTGTGAGTTATTTGTGTATTATTCCAGTCACGGTATTGTGCGTTATTGCTCTTTAGTACATTTAATATAATAACACTGGATAAGAATTTACTGAAAAAAAAACCTACGATAAAATAATTCTGACCCCTGAATGGTTATCAGCTATTAAGTACTAAATATTTAGTCATAAATAAGTAGCTTATTTAGTAACAGTTTTAAACAATATATAAAACATAGTGAAGTAATATATGTATAAATGTAAGCTTTAGGTAACTTCCCTCCTCCAAAAAAAAAAAATAAATCAAAGTGACTAATTCCACTTAGGAAGTCCCCAAAAATCAAGTGCTAACAGCTGAGAGGTCAACACACGCTTGGTACTACACAACTCTTTCGTCATATTTGCCAAGATGAGTCAAGGAAACAATAGTAATTTCATGTAAGTATGTGTTATTAATGCTCCAAGATGCCATCACCAATATAATCTAAGATAAAAGTTTTCAGTTAAGAACAAACTGGGTGTAATCAGCTGAATTTTGCATACTATACTTCCTACACCCCAGATGCTGTATTATCTATAAGGGTTTAGCGCTTCCCAGTAATAATTTCGAGCATAATATATAATCCGTGAAGGCTTCTTGATTCAAGAAATTTAGGCTACTGTCGTCCTTAAATCTGCCTCCCATTCCTCGGGCGTTTTATGACCTATGGGATTAGCGCTTTATCATAAATAAAATAACAAGAATAACCAAGCAAATTATTGTAACAGAACATTCATCTGGGAACGCAAAACCCGTAGGGGTTTGTCATTAGGGGAATGGGAGGCAATCGGGTTTGATCCGAGGAAGGGGAGGTCAAGTTCAATTTCATGGATCAAGAGCCCATCACCGGGGTCAAACAACTTTTCTCAAGGGGAATAATAATCAATTATATCCTTAATATTTATTAGCTAGCCATCAGTGTTGTGACTCCAAACTTCCCGCGATTCCAACGTTTCCTGGGCTATGTTATAAGTCCTTGTGGCTTAGCGCTTCTTTTTGATTATAATAATAATCCCACGTTTCCTGAGTATGTCTTGAATTTCACTCCCCTCAAGGAGGTAGGTTCACCCAGTGACTGGTGAGCAGCTCTTGATGAATGGAAATGGACTTGTAAGTCCTACCATTCCTTGATCGATTTGATTGCTCGACTCTTCAAAGATCCAGTTCAAGCCCCAACGATTTCCAGCGCTTCCCCCTAAAAATAATAAATTTTGATTAATTATTAGAGTATCTTTAGGTTAAGTCGTCATAAAATGTCCCCTTTGTATATTTATAATTGCCAGACTCTTAAAAGAAGATCCAGCAAGCCCCCTGCCACTTTCCACTCTTGCAGCCCCTTAAATATTAAATAATTTATATAAATATATATATATATATATATATTATATATATATATCTTATATATATATATATAATAATATATATATATATAAAATATATATATATATAAAATACAAAACAACCACTCTAAAAGAATAGAGAAATTCCAAGCGCTTTCGTGACTACTCACATTATAAAAGGAACTATGAAAGTAAAGATCCAAGGAAGCTATAATGTGAGTAGTCAAGAAAGCGCTTGGAATTTCTCTATTCTTTCAGAGTGGTTGTTTTGCATATTCTGAAATCACCTGTTTACTGTGATCTTATTGCATATATATATATATATATAATATATATAATATAATATATATATATATATATATATAAAATATATATTATATATATATATAATAAAATATACAGTGATTAGTATGAGTGAGGTGAGTGTTGAATGATGATGAAAGTATTTTCTTCTTGGGGATTTTCTTTCTTTTTGGCTCACCCTGCCTCGGTGGGAGACGGCCGACTTGTTGAAAGATATACAAACGTAAAAGAAACATGCTGTATAAAGCCATTGTGCATGTGAGTGAAGAGAGGTCAGGTTTAGCTTCAGGTCACCTGACGACTGTATCCTGAGATGCAAAACGTGCTCTAGAATCACTAGCATAATGTGCCTGGAATCATTGCTTCCAGGCACCCTAATGTTTCAGCATTTCAATCCAGTGAGAAAGGCTTTAAATGAGTTTGAACAATTTAATCTTACTGCATAGATATTTATCAGAATTTTAATACATTCTAATGTCATCTACGTGGATGAAGTTAATTGCCATGTTTCTCCAAACTAATTTCGCTACTGAAGCACGGAATAATACATTGGATAATGGGCGGTATAACACTGAATGTCGTGAAAATGACATTCAACAGTGGGATGCAATCCCGAGGCCAAATTGGTAGCACGGAATACTGGACTTTTATTAGAATTTGCAACGAATTGCAGCTTACCTAGTGAATCCGATGGTGAGCAGCACTATAGGATGAGTGCAAACTTTGTAATCTTTGACTATTTTCCAGGCCTTACACGCAACTTTGAGTCACTACAACTTTGTGATTTTTGGGGCATTTGAAGATGTTTCGCCAACCAGTGGTTTTATTAGTTCAACAGACTGAATAATCAAGATATATTTTCAGCAACTGAGCAATTTAAGCATCAACGCAGCAGTGAAATCTCAAAGCATCTGTCTTTACAGGGGTTATCTTCAAGTGAATGTAGTCAACACTTTTAAACTGGAATGCAAACCAACTGAATTACGTTAAGAAATACTTGATCTGGAATTCTCTGTTTTTTTTTTTCCTAATATTTCAACTATTGTGTATTTTGACAGTTTACCAGCCTCTGAGTCTTTGGGTGAACGTACCCTCAGTGTGTTGAGCATGGGAAAAATATCACAGGTCCACTAGCTGTGTCACTATGGGACAGATCCATTTGAAAGTTATATTTTATCCATATTACCAATGTTCTCGCAGAGAAGGCAAGGAAAAAAATTAATCAATAAACTATTCTAATTATGCCTTGTTTTGATCTGGTGTCTCTTTAGGTTTTCGTGTACCTTTTTCCATGGTTAGGGCTTCAAGAGTTGCCGAACCTTTGAGAAAGCTTGATCAGGAAATGTACTCTTGTATCTGCATACATGTACAAGAATGGTATACAATACCGACAAGATGAGAACTGAGACATCTTCACAACTACGGTGCTCTTCACACCAACTCCAAGGCTGAGGGACTGTTTACCTCATCTTTTGTATATAGTTCTACTGTGTTCAAATTATGTCCTAGAATCTGTATTGATAAAGCCACTGGATGGCGACGCGTCTACAATAAAGATACCCAGATGTTGCATATGTGTCTCAGTTTTCCTCTGCATACATATTAATTTCAAGAATGGAGTATTCTTGATTGATGAAGCACAGGTGAAATGCGGCTTTAATGACTTTCGTGGGGGAGATAAGCTTTAAACCTAACAAATCAACCAATCATTTAAGTACTGATAAGGCATACCATAGGGAAGCGGCTTACGTGACTGTCGTAATGTAATATCTTGTCGCCTTGAGGAATTTTGAGGAAGCCTGAGACGTTCGCATGACATTGCACTATTTGTTTCGATCTTTAGTTCGGTGTACAGTTTTTTTTTTCAATACTCAATTATATTGAATTGTTTCTCAAATATAGGCCTACACAGATTGTTATCAAGCTCATGATATTAGTGTTCAAGCAGATTTATCAGATTAATATTAAGGTGTTCTGGTGCTCAAACTTGATGTTTGAAATGCGTGCCAATTACTCATAAATCATTGATGTCTTTGGATGGTAGAAAGACACATTCAGCAAAGAAACTTATTAATACGACGTTTCACCCCCTGGGTGCTCTATCAAATACTATATGAAATGCCTAAAAAAAGTGTTATATTATAAAGGTATACAATACCGACAAACTGATGAGAAAGTGTGTTAGAAAACTAAGTTCTGTTGGAATGTTACATCCTATGTAACCTGTCCTATGGCTTGGTTAGCAACGTTCTCGCCTCACATACTGAGAGTCCGTGGTTCAATCCCCGGCATGGTTGGAAATGTTGGGCATGTTTCCTACACTTGTCCTTGTTCACATAATAGTAAGTAGGTACCTGGGTGTTAGCTGACTGGTGTTGGTCGCATCCTGGGGTACAAGATTGAAGGACCCCAGTGAAAAATAAGACAGTCCTCGGTAACGAACTGACTTTCTTGGATTATCCTGGGTAGCTAATCCTTCGGGCTAAAAAAAACGGGCAAATTTTATCCTAATACTACGGTTTCGTGTTAGGAAACTCCAGGGCCTGTTGGAAATATTCACGCATTGGGTAAAAGTTATGTGTACCTAATGATGTTAATTTAAAAAAAAAAAGGCTAATTTATGTTGTGTTGCCAGATGGAATGAGTATTTGCGAGTGATGGTGGCCGTAGCCCTCAATATTATCAGGGAGACCCCCGAACACCTCACCCCTCGCTGCTACACCAACAACCTCATGTCTGTTCTCCTGCCCTTGCCATCTCCAGCGCTGACCATGGTAAGTCCCACGTCACCCATACCTGATATAATTTCACGCTAACCCATACTAGATACAGTCTCACGATAAGTTCCATATCTACTAAAGCTCTTGTCTCATGCTAGGGTCAGCATCTTAACTATCAAGTCTCCTGCCTCATGCTAAGTTACCTACTTTCAAGTGCTTAATCCCCCTGCTTCAAACGCGAATTCCGTTTTCGTCTGTTAAATGTCCCGCTAAGTTCCCGCCACACGCTAAATCTTCTGCCTCACGCAAAATCTCACGCATCTCGTGTTACATCCCCTGCCCTAGTCCCTGGACCCAGTATGTACCTCTGTAATCTTTTGACTACCGCCCACAGGATGGGCATGGGGTTTACCTGGAGTTTACCTGGAGAGAGTTCCGGGGGTCAACGCCCCCGCGGCCCGGTCTGTGACCAGGCCTCCTGGTGCATAATAAACATTAAACTAACTAAACTTCACGCTGAATTTCTTGCCTTCCGCTAAATTCCCTGCTTCTCAAGCTAAATCCCTGCCTCTATTGGAGCTGTAATGAACCACTTTATTGCAAATGTACTCTACCAGTATAATTCTGTATTCATCCCGGATTTCAAAGTCAAGTGATAAATCACTGTACTCATATGTAGTATGTAGCCTTGTCCTAGAATAGTGTTAATTGAGTCTTCCTCTTTATTAATAATAGAGTAGCTCTGTAGAATGTATTAAGAGTATTGGATATTGTTAAAACTCAGTTGGGGCAATTAAGTGGAGATGATGTGAAACCACGAAGACATTCGACAAAGAGAAGACCAAGAATTGTACTTGAAAAGTGAAATCATACAAATATAAAATAAATTGTGGGATGATTGGGCGTCGTGCTAAAATAGAAAATTTGAAAACATGTTAAGTGGCCCAGCAGGCAGCACGATCGGTAGCGTTTTGGGAGCTGAAATTCTGAATCTACACAAGCGATTGCAAAATCGTCAACACATAAGCATGACCAGATACTTGTGGGAAGAACGTAGGCAGATCCGTTGATACCTATCAGAAATAACGTAGTATAATGTAAACTTTGCCTGGTGGGCTATTGTTACACCTTGCCCCATTATATACTGTAATGCGACAAAATTAATGATTCGAGACAACTTCCTCAGAAATATTCAAAGAAATGTCAGAGTATTTTATCCATGGTTATTACAAACAATTCTGGGAAAAATACCTCGCCCTTGTCACTTCAATGAAGCATCCACTTTTCTTTGTGTTTGCGTGTGTGTTGTGTGTACTCACTGTTGTACTCACCTAGTTGAGTTGCGGGGTCGAGTCGAGCTCCTGGCCCCCCCTCTTCACTGTCGCTACTAGGTCACTCTCCCTGAACCGTGAGCTTATTCCTGCTTAAAGTATGTAGGATCCTGCCTCCACTACTCGCTTCCCAAACTTTTCCCACTTACTGACTACTCTGTGTGAAGAAATCTTCCTAACATCCCTGTGTTCATTGTTCTTCAACTTTGTGTGGGGCGTGTGGGGGTGTGTTGTTGTGTGTGTGTGTGTGTGTGTGTGTGTGTTGTGTGGTGTGTGTGTGTGTGTGTGTGTGTGTGTGTGTGTACTCCCTATTTGTCTCACCTATTTGTGGTTGCTGGGGTCGAGTCCTAGCTCTGCCGCCTCTTCACCGGTCTACTGGGTCCTCTCTCTCCCGCTCCATGAGCTTTATAAACCCTCGTCTTAAAACTATTATGGTTTCCTGCCTCCCTTACGATTTGGGGATAATAACTTTGGTATAAAAACTGTGCCCTAGCATTAGGAAAATTTTGGGGAGAATAAATAATGAAGATGATTGTTTTTAGGAATGCAGTTAGAAGCCGAGTAGATCTATAACCCACTTTTGATAAAGAACGTAGATAAGTATGTTTATTGGAGACAACTTGCAATGTGAACAGACTGATATGTTGTAGGGGCCCAGGCTTGGCTTGGTTAAAGTACTTCTGGCCAGTTTGGGAGACACACAGATGATGATCAAACTAAATGTAAATTATGTGATCAGGCATAGGTCATTTCCCCTTGAACACTATTGCTTAATTGTCCACTTATTGGGGGAATACAGGGGACAGTATAAAAACCCTATGTGACATGTCAAGATATCTTTTTTAATGAAAATAAGATACCAGATATACTAAGCAAATTTCCTAAATTTTCTTGTAACAGATAAGTGAACTATTAGATATGTAGATATAAATCCATATGTATTCCTGTTTAACCCTTTGGGGCCTAGTTCCTAGGCCTTTTGTGTATCCACATGCTCTCGCGTACCGTCCCACAGGATGGATATGGGGTGCACAATAAACTAGCCACTTCGGTGGCAAAATCTAAAACTAAACATCCAAAAAAGTCACAACAACAACCCACAACTTTTAACCCCTTTTTCGGTATCTCTAGTTCGACAACAACACCCACAACAAACCCACAACACCCACAAACCCACAACACCCACACCCCACAATTTTTTCTCGTTTTAACTAATTTCACCAGAAAAAGTCACAACAACAACCTACTTATAACATCTTTTTCGGTATCTCTAGTTTGACAACAACACCCACAACACCCACATCCACAACACCCACAACCCACACCCTCCCCCCACCCACCCCACAACACACACAAACAAACCCCATCACCCACACCCACAATTTTTTTCTCGTTTTAACTAATTCATCAGAAAGTCACAACAACAACAACCACAACTTATAATACACCTTTGAATAACCTCAAAACACCGTTGAGTACTCCCAATACACCACTGAATACTACTAAAACACCACTGAATACACTCAAAACACCACCAAAATCACCATAAACTAAGTTTAACACCCAATCCCCCAAAACACCCACAACCCACAACACCCACATCCCACATTACCCACAACCCACATCACCAACAACCCACAATTTTTTTCTCGTTTTAACTAATTTCATCACAAAGTCACAACAACAACAACCCACAACTTATATTCACTTTTCAACAACTCTGTTCGACAACAACACCACATCCCACAACACTCACAAAAACCCCACCCCCCTTTTTTCGTTTTTAAATAATTTCATCAGAAAAAAGGCACAACAACCCACAACTTATAACCACTTTTTCGGGATCTCTAGTTCGACAACAACGCCCACAATCCAACAACACCCCAAAATCCCACAACCCCCACAATTTTTTTTCACGTTTTAACTAATTTCATCAGAAAAAGTCACAACAACAACACACTTATAACGTCTTTTCGGTATCTCTAGTTCGACAACAGCACCCCCCAACACCCACATCCCACAATTTTTTTCTCGTTTTAACTAATTTCACCAGAAAAAGTCACATCAACAACCCACAACTTATAACCACTTTTCAGCATCTCTAGTTCGACAACAACACCCACAACCCACAACACCCACATCCCACATCACCCACAATTTTTTTTCACGTTTTAACTAATTTCATCAGAAAAAGTCACAACAACTACCCACAACTTATAACCACTTTTTTCGGTACTCTAGTTCGACAACAACACACCCACAACACCCACAACACCCACAACCCACAGTTTTTTTTCTCGTTTTAACTAATTTCATCAGAAAAAGTCACATCAACAACCCACAACTTATAACCACTTTTTCGACATCATTAGTTCGACAACACCTACAACCACCAACACCCCACAACCCACAATTTTTTTCTCGTTTTAACTAATTTCATCAGAAAAAGTCACAAAAACAACCCACTTATATCATCTTTTTTTGGTATCTCTAGTTCGACTACATTACCCACAACCCTCATCAATTACCAATTTATTCCCCAATTTTTTTCCCCTTCTTTTTTTCTGAATCTTAAATGAATACACATTCCTCTTTACATTATAAAATTCTAATAAAATCCTCTCCATACCCATCTCCTTGTATCCACTAAATTGATATTTACAATACCGATACAAAATTCTACCAACTAAAAAACTTACTAAAATTAAAACCCTCTCATTCTTTTCCCAATAAACAAAAAAACTTTTCCAATTCTATAATTTTTTTTTAAAATATTACACATTACCTTTATTTTCAGAAAAATTCTCCCCATATTTCATTTAAATTTCTAATACAACCCTCCCCTTTACCCCTCTCCATCTCCCCCGCATTTTCTTCACATCCACTCACCCATCTCCCAACACACCTCTTCTGAACACAAAACAAAAATCACATTTCATCCACAAATTTTCTCACCCATCTAAAAACCCACTAAAATCACTGTAACCAAGATATTCACAAAACTCTATGACCACACACACACACACACCCCACACACACACACACACACCCCACACCTCACTTTACTTTGAACACCTTCAAAATTTCCTCATACACATTTGGGCCCCACCTTTTCTCAATATCCTCATCCACAACCTTTATCATCTCACTACAGAACAACACCCAAGATTACTTCGAACACTCATAAATCATTTGAATACTCACATAAACCCTTTGAACATTTCCAAACAACACTGAAGCACTTCCAAAAATATCATTTTGAGTTACCCCCAAAATAAGTTTTATCATCTCTTAATTTATTTTACACTTACACATTTCATTAACTGAAATACAACACATCCACCATACTACTCCCTCAGTCTCCAAGACTTTACAACATTAAAACAAAAAACTAACTCAGACACTTATGACATGAGACATTTTACCAAAACTAACACAAACACATATCCGTTTTTATCTCCAATATCTAAGATCACCACAATCAAAGACGTTTACCAAAATTCTATAACCCCACCACTAAGATCACACATTTTTTTTTGTACACATTCTCTTAAAACATCATCATAACGAAGATCACTAAAACTATCTATACTTTTACTAAGATCACATAACATTTTGTCTTCCTACTCACCCACCAATTCCATTCTCTTTCAAAACTTAAACATTTCATTAACCGAAATTACATCTCATCCACCAAACTCCCTCCTCATTCTCCAGATTTTA